GAGTCGTGTTAGCTTCACAACAAAATTGAGAGGAAGGTACAGAGATTTCTCACATACCTCCTGCCTCCACACGTGTGTAACCTGCCCCAATATTAACATCCACCCCCCCGCTACAGAGTAATACACTGTTCATCATCAATTGATGAACCTACATGGATGCATCAGTCACCCAGAGTTGGCAGTTTACTCTAGGGGTCCCACTCTAGGGGTTTGGATAAATGTATAACGACATGTATCCTACAGAGTAGTTTCACTTTCCTAAAAATCCTCTGTGTTCTGCCTGTTCATCCTGCCTGTTCCTACCCTCTGGCAACCGCTGGTATTTCTACTATCTCCATAGTTTTCCTTTTTCTGGAATGTCAGAGCTGGAATCTCACAGTATGTAGCCTTTTCAGATTGGCTTCTTTTACTTAGTATTATGCTTTGAAGGTGCCTCCATGTCTTCCAGGGCTTAATAGCTCATTTATTGTTTTTCTTCCCTCTGAAGAACTCGGAAGAACTGAAGATCAGTCCTGGGTGTTCATTGGTAGGACTGATGTTGAAGCTGAAACTCCGATATTTTGGCCACCTGATGCGAAGAGCTGACTCATTGGAAAAGACCCTGATGCTGGGAAAGATTGAGGGCGGGAGGAGAAGGGGACGACAGAGGATGAGATGGTTGGATGGCATCACCAACTCAGTGGACATGGGCTTGGGTGGACTCTGGGAGTTGGTGATGGACAGGGGGGCCTGGCGTGCATGCTGTGGTTCATGGGGTCGCAAAGAGTCAGACACGACTGAGTGACTGAATTGAACTGAAGAACTTTTAACATTTCTTGCAAGTAGGTATGCTGACAACAAATTCCTTCGGTTTTTGTTTGCCTGAGAAAATCTTCATTTCTCCCTCACTTTTGAAGGGTAATTTCCCAGTGTACAGAATTCTAGCTCGGTGAGGATTTTCTCTCAACACTGTAACTATTTCAGTCTACTCACTTCCTACCGGCATGGTTTCTGAGGAGAAGTCAGATGTAATTTTTATTTTTGCTCTTCTATAAGTAAGGTATTTATTGTTTTCCTGTAGCTCCATCAAGATTCTTTCTTTATCCTTTATTTTCTGTAATTTGAAAATGTCTAGGTGTGGGGACTTTTCAGGTGACACTAGTGATAAAGAACCCCCTGTTAATGCAGGAGACGTGAGATGTGGGTTCGATCCCTGGGTTAGAAAGATCCTCTGGAGGAGGGCATGGTAGCCCACTCCAGTATTCTTGCCTGGAGAATCCCATGGACAGGGGAGTCTGGCAGGCATCAGTCCACGGGGTCGCAAAGAGTCAGACACGACTGAGTAACTGAGCGTGCACACAGGTAGCTTATAAAAACAGACATTTATTTCCCCTGGTGTCTGGAACATTCAAGATCAAGATGTCGGCTTGGTTCATGAGGAGCCTCTTGCTGGTTCATCGCCAGCAGCTTCTGACTGTGTCCTTAACGTGATGGAAGGGAGTCCTGTGGGACCACTTTTATAGGAGCCTGACCCCCTAATTCACTAACTCACCCTCATGACATAATCACCTCTCACAGGCCCTGCCTTCTAACCCTGTCACATTGGGTATACGGATTCTAACGTGAATTTGTGGGGGACACAAACACCCAGACCACACATAGCCCATTGTCTCGTGAACTAATAAGCCCGTCAGAGGCATTCTTCATTTCTGTCGCAGTGGTTTTGGTCTCTAGCACTTCTTTTTTGGTTCTTTTTAGAATTTCCATCTCTTTGCTTACATTGCCCATTTGTTCTTTCATGCAGTTTACTTTATCCGCAGGAGTCTTTAGCATGTTCCTCATGACTGTTTTAAATTCCCAGTCTGATCGTTGCAACAGCCCTGCCTATTGCCTGTCTCATCCAGCTGTGTTGTTTGCCTTTTAATATACCTATAATTTTTTTTCTTTTTTACAAGAAGACTTATTTATCTATTTTTGGCCGCACTGGGTCTTCATGGCTGCGTGCAGGATTGCTCTGGGTGAGGGGCGCGGGCTCCTCATTGTGGGGGCTTCTCTTATTGCGGAGCACAGGCCGTAGGCACGGGCGCTTCAGTAGCTGTGCCTCGTTTCTCAGCTGTTGCAGCGCCCAGGCTCTGGAGAGGCGTCGTGGCCCAGGGGCTTCGTTGCTTCACAGCACGTGGGATGTTTCCTCGACCAGGGATCCCACTGCTGTCCCTGGCATTGCAAGGCAGATTCTTAGCCCCTGGACCACCTGAGAAGCCCCAGTGTTTTCTTTGCCTTTGCCCATGTTGCCTGGTGTACGGGATCTTAGTTTCCCTGACCAGGGATTGGACCTGCGCCCCTCGCATTGGGAACTCGGAGTGCTAACCACTGTATCCCCAGAGAAATCCCACTTGTCATTTTTTTTTCCTGATAGCCAGAGATGATGTACTGGATAACAGCTCTAAACAGGCAATTTAGTCACGTGGTGGTCAGATGTGTGGAGGGTGAGGGGCCTCTTGTATTCCTGTGATTAGGCCTCCTGTTAGTAAGCCTGTGGGTGTCACGTGTGCTTCCCAAGGCCATGCCCTCTGTGGGGGCCTGTCTAAGCAGAATAGGATGGCGTGATGGAGTTGGGAATTTTCCTTTTACTTGTGGGAGGCCAGAGGGGTTTGGAGTTGGGGTTTTTCTCTTTCCCCAGGTCAGTTAGGCTCTGATAAAGCCCCATCCTGTTAGGCCCTAGTTAGATAGTTAACTCTTGAAAACAGACCTTGTTAAGAAACACAGAATGCCCTGGTGTGTTTCCAAATAACCCCCTCTCCCCTCCCCCAGTGTAAAGCATGGGTTTTTTCCCTCCAGCATTCACTGTGAGAACCTGGTTAGAACTCCAGGTGGTGAAACTCACAACAGTGTGGGCCCCCGATGACTGGGTCCCCCTGGAGTTTTTAGCTGTGAGCGTCATCCACGCGGAGCCTCAAGCCAGCTGTTGAGCGGCTCAAGCTCCCCTCCTGCAGCACCAATTCTCATGTCAGTTGAGATTCTCTGTATTTGCCTGTCGGTCTCTCCAGTGTGGGAGTACCTTGCTTTTCTTAGGGGTCTAAGAAGAGTTATTGATTTCTCAGTTATTCCATTTGTCACTTTTTGATAGGATGGAGGAGCAACTTCCAAGCTTCTTAGATTCCAGATTGGAAACTGGCAGTCCTCAGGAGCATACATTATAAACTCGAGCAGACAAATGGCTGGGACTCTCAACACGAGTGCACGACCTGCAGGTCAGAACACTGTGTAGCCCGACATTTGCCAAACGCATTTGACTGTAAAGCCTCTTTCTTCATGCACCGTTTATCACCCTGCCCTGGAACTGGTGTTCTGAGGAACCTGCTTGGAGGAACACCGAGCTCAGATGCAGTACTTGCTGGAGAAATAGCAAGTCGTTTCTCGAGGTTGTGGCTCAGTGCCCAGACCCCAGGGAGGCCCTCCATCTGTCCTTCCATGAAACCAGGAAACAGTCCCCTTCGCAGCGAAAGTCAGAGCAGTGGGAGTGTGTCCCCCAGTGCCTGCTGGGCTTGAGTCCTGGCTCTGCTGAGGGTCCCTGGGCAGCTTAGCTTCTCTGTGCTTTAGTTTTCCCGTCTGTAGGATGGAAGTGACGATGATAATAGTTGGCTTATTGGGCTGCTCTGAGGCCCACATGAATGAAAACACGCTCGAAACTTAGAAAGTGCTTGGCAGTGTGTGTGCAGCTGGGTCTTTCCAAGCTCCCTCCATGAGTATACCCCGCAGACTCCCACGTTCACCTGTTTCAACCAATGGGGATACTACATAGCCTCTTTAAAAATGTCTAGGAATCGTGGGATAAAACCCATGCCTAGGTTTTAACCATTATGTGATACTACCTCTACACTGAAAGTTGTTTCTAAAAGTAGCTCAGTCGGTAAAGAATCTGCCTGCAATGCAGGAGACCCGGGTTCATTTCCTGGGTTGGGAAGACCCCCTGGGGGAGGGCCTGGCAACCCACTCCAGTATTCTCGCCTAGAGGATCCCATGGACAGAGGGGCCTGGTGGGCTACAGTCCATGGGGTCGCAAGAGTCAGACACGACTTAGTGACTAAACCACCACCCACCACCACATGTACACTAGCTATTCTCTACGTTTTGATCTGTACAAGTAGAAAGACAGAGAAGGACCACTATCAGCCCTCTCTTTGGTACAAGGAAGTAGTCTCCAACATTGCCAAACTTGTACCCCCTCTTTTTTTTTTGACATTAAAAAAATGGGATGGGCCACAGCCTCTCCAGATGTAGTCAGATGTGGTCATTGTGCTCTAACCATCGACTGAGACAACAGTAATCATCAAAAGCTGCTGTGAATGTTAGGATGCTTTTTTAAAATGTTTTGAATAGATAATTGTATGTGCATGCAGTGATTCTTCAAATGAATTTACATTTTATCCCTGCTGCTGCTGGCATCTGAGGAAATAGACTAGGAAAACCGTTAAACTGGGTAAATACATTGTTCCTCTTTGTTAGAAAACATAGATGCGGTGAAACTCACCGCGGCACCTCTTTCTGTATCTCCACGGTAAATCAGAATATCTGTGTCTTCTCTGACCTTCTCAGTAGCCCTGAACTCCCTCCCCAGGTTCCTCAGAGTCCACTTTCTTGTAGTCAAAGCACAGACAGTGGAGAAAAGGTTCCTTTTACTAAAGACCGTCCTGTTAGTGAGAAACGCTTATCCCCTAGTCCCCAGATTCTTACAAAGGAGGGTGTTCTGTCTCCTGCCAGCTCCAGATGTGTAAGGGAGCGCTTCGCATCTGTTGACCCATCCCTCATTTGGACGACCGGAATTTCTCAGGTTAAGAACAGTTTTCAGCCATGGGGCTGCACCTGAATGCAAGGGGTTTGGGGTAAATTGGCCTCATAAGTGGACCAAGAAGGGGGTGAGAGAGGGACGGATGGGAGCTTAGGAGTAACAGATGCACGCTGTATGTATATTGAGTGGATAAATGGCAAGGTCCTCTGTGTAATAGCACAGGGAACCATATTCAATAATCCTGTGAAAAATCAGAATGGAAAAGAATATGAAAAAGAATATGTATATACATGTAAAAAAGGAATAGAATCAGACTATTAAAAACAACAACAACAACAGTGGCCTGAAACCACATTGCACATTGCTGCCTGCCTTGGGCTTCCTGGATGAAGAGGCGAAGCAGAGCTCCTCGCTGGTTAGCCTGGGGGTTATCCATCTGGGACCACCCACGTTCCCCTCTTTCTGGAGGCAGCCTGAGATCCATCCTTTCCTCCTCTTCCCCCTCTGGTGCTTCCCAGTCATCCAACGACTGTGTTTGTGACCGGGCTCTTCCAGGCGGTGAGCTCGGGCGCTCAGAGTCAGCTTTACACCCACTCTTGCCACACACGGGGTTTCTTTCTAGGTGTTGGGGGGCAGCCTCCAGTCTGGGCTTCAGCTGAGCTCTCCCATTTGCTCTTCCCTGGAGTTGCAGGTCCTCCATCCCTAAAGTGGGTCCTCAGGTCCCGGTGGTCTGACCAGGGTTAGAACCCAGGGCAGATTGGAGTCAAGGCTCCAGCCTCAGCCCTCGGGATGCCTTGGAAGAATCATCAGAAAAGGCAGTGCAGAATCCGCACCACCCCACCCTAAAGACAGCTTGTAGTTTCGGTACTGATTATTCCAAGTTTCACAGGCACACTAGAGAAAAGTCAGAAGCAGCTACTCCGCTGTCTCCTGAGATAGCTCAGGTGCAGGGCCCAGAGGCTCAGCCCAGTGGGTGGGAAGGAAGACCCCAAAGGAGCAGGAAGAACCACAAGGACTAAGACCCCAGGTGCAGCAGGTGAGGCTCCAGATGGATCACACAGAGTTCTGCTTTCACTGGCTCTCCTTTACCCCTTCAGCCCGCTGCCCCCTTCAACTCTGCACAGCTGGCCAGAAAAGTCACCTGGGGACAGGAACTACAAATGGTGTGTAAATATAAACCCATGTTTAAATATCACTGTGCTTAAAGGGACCAGGCCAGAATTCTCTTCCACGAATTAGTAAGATTAAATTCTGCCCCTTCAAATGTCCAATGTACTTAATAAGAAAAAAATCACTATTAATGTAACAAAAAGATTTGAATTAAAATATCTCATGAGTGCCAAGTCTTTAAAATATTTCCTAGGACCCAGGAAAAATTGTCACGGTACAGTGATTAGGGAGCGTGGCTTTCTCTTACAACCAAATGTCATGATGATGGCCTAGTCATACCCACTGGGGATATAAATAGTGTGAGCTGGGCCACACTGATTCCCCATGGCTGTTGTTTGTCCATCAGGACCATCTTTGGACCACCCCAAGTTGGGAAGAATGTCTGTTGGGTGTCCCAGCCCAGGGGCCAGGCTGGAAGGGGCAGGCTGAAGGCAGTTATTAAAGTGAGATTGAATCACTTGATTTTCAAAGGAAACCAAAGTTGTAGAGCCTTGGCTGTGGATATCTTGCCTGGATACTCTTGTTTTCCCTGCCAACCCCTTGTTCCAACTTCTTGATGCTTTTTGGACGATAGTTCTTTCTCTTCCTGCGTATCACTCAGAATTACCCCGCCAGGAACAGTCAGAAAATAGATGATTACGTGAGAGTCTGCACACTGATGGGGGGCTGCCAAACCCCTCTTCGCTGCTTGGCAGTGGGAACCTGGTGGCAAGGCCCACCCCCCGGCTGAGAAACTGGAGAAACTGAACAGCTGAAGAGAGAAACGTCCAGGAGCTGACCGTGGGGTGACCTGCATCTCATCAGTCACTCATCCATTCATTCAGCCGCCTCACATACTTACCAAGTGCCTGCCACATGCACACAGTCTTAGGTGCTGTAGCTACAGCAGCAAATAATTGGACACAAGTAAGTGGCTTGCAGGTTAGCAGTAAAGACAGACAGTAAGTAAAATAACCAAATCATATGACATGTTAGGTGACAAATGCTATAGGAAAAAAAAAAGAAGTGGGATAGAGAATGCCAAGTGAAATTTTAAATAGGGTGATGGGGAGGACTTGCTGAGAAGGTGACATTTAAAAGGCTCTGCGGTGAAACCTACCAGTTGACAAGCCCAATTCCTGCAACAGATCTGCCAGCCTGGTTTTGGCCTCATACTTAGGTGTTTACACACAACTCTGTCACAAATGTTCAGTGCAGAACATTGGAAGGTCTTCCAGTGTCAGCAGAAACAGAACACAGGAACTCACAGCAAATGCTGGAATTAGAAGATCACTTTTTAAAAGGCCCTAACTAGAATTAATATTCTATGCGAGAGAAAAGACTGCATCCAGAGAACAAGAATAAGAAAAACAGTTATAAAGGAAACAACTGAGAACAAGGAAAAAAAATCTTCTCTTATGAAATAAGGGAAAAAAACCACAGTTGGAAAAAAAATTCAGTGAAAGTATTTTTAGAACTCTCAATAAACTCAGCAAGTACTGGGCATTTACAAAGCAAAAAAAAATTCTAGAAGGGAAAAAATGGAACACTCAGGCAATATTGAAGAGCTATTGAAAGTTAAAAGCATTATCAGAAATGAAAAATTTGGTAGGGAAATGAGATAAAAATGAGTAAGTCCTTCAAAACAAAAAAGTAGAAAATAGGAGAGAAAATATAGCGGAAATTAGAGGACAAGTCTAGGAAAGCCAGTATCCGATAGCTAGGCATTTCAGAAAGGACACAAATAAAATGGACGGGAGGAAAGCATCCATAAAATAGCCCAATAATAGTTCCAAAGGCTCTTCAAACCTCCAAGTAGCCCCTAAAATGTATGAAAAGAGGCCCTCCCAAGACACATCACCATGATATTTCAAAGGGAGGATTTTGCAGTTTCCAGAATGTAAAACAAGGAGACCAAACAGGTTAACCACAAAGGATCAAGGATCAGAACAGCTTTAGACTTCTTACCAGCAGCAGTGAAAGCAGAAGACCATGAGCAGTGTCTTTAGACTTCCAGAAGACGACTTCCAACCAGAAACTCCATCCAGGTGAACTATTGATCAGTGAAAGTGTTAGCTGCTGTCATGTCCGTCTCTTTGCAACGCCTTGGACTGTAGTCCACCAGACTCCTTTGTCCATGGGATTCTCCAGGCAAGAACACTGGAGTGAGTTGCCTTTTCCTTCTCCAGCGGATCTTCCTGACTCAGGGATTGATCTCTGGTCATACTGGAGCTTCCCTGGTGGCTCAGATGATAAAGCGTCTGCCTGCAATGTGGGAGACCCGGGTTCGATCCCTGGGTCAGGAAGATCCCCTGGAGAAGGGATTGGCAACCCACTCCAGTACTCTTGCCTGGAAAATCCCATGGACGGAGGAACCTGGTAGGCTACAGTCCATGGGGTCACAAAAGAGTCAGACACGACTGAGCAACTTCACTTTCCTTTTTTTCCTCCTACATTGTAGGCAGATTCTTTATCATCTGAGCCACCAGGGAATATCAATCAAATAAAAACACTTTCAGACAAGCAAGGTTTCAAAAAGTTTACTTCCCATCCTCTCTTTTTTAAGACCAAAGAAGGATATATGGTCCTCCAAAATGAAAAAGAATATTGATAGCTTAGAGTGAATGATGTTGGATTCGTGATCTCCAAAGAAGCAGCTTTAGCTTTGGGACCAGGAACCAAGCTTGATCACTCAAGAGCTTTTGTGTAGCCGAGTTTTATTAAAGTGAAAAAGTGACAGAGAAATTTTCTGACATGGACATCAGAAGGGGGATGGAGAGTGCCCCCCTTGCTAGTCTTGGAAAGGGAGTTATGTACTTTTTCAGTTGGTTATTACAGTAAATCAAAAGAATGTCTTAAGGTTGTAAAGGTCTTCCCAGACCCTCTCCCATAAGTTATATTTTAAGATGACAGGATTAGTCAGAAGGTTCTCAAGAAGGAGAAACTTGTCCTCAAGCAGCATACATTGTTGTCATATGATCACTGGTACAGAATTTAAGAGAATATATATCCTTGAGCAAGATGAGTTGTTGTATTGTGCAGTCATCAGCTCTGAGCTTAAAGAGAAAAGGTTTGTCCTTTCCTCCTCCTTGAGAATTCCAGACCCCTATCTCCTCCTCGAGAACCCCAGACCCTTCTCCTCCTTGGGGACCCCAGATTTCTTATCAAACTACCTAGGACTTGTCTCTCTCACTATGAAAAAGAGAAAGATACAATTCCGTAATTTCCCTTCATGTTCATTCTCCCCTTCTTTCATTTTTTTTTTTTTAGCATTTATTTATTCAGAACAACTTTTTTATTGGAGTTTAGTTGATTTACAGCATTGTGTTAGTTTTAAGTGTATGGCAAAGTCATTCATTTATATACATACATATATATATTCTTTTTCAGATTCTTTTCCATTCTAGGTTATTATAAGATATTGCATACAGTTTCTTCTGCTATACAGTAGTTCCTTGTTGTTTATGTATTTTCTGCATAGTAGAGTGTATCTGTTAAACTTAAACTCCTACTTTTGTTGGAGCGTAGACCTCCCTGAGTTTTAGCTGGGCGAGGGGCTTCCTAGCAGGGACACCATTGCCTCGCGTCACCCACAGCTAAGTGGGGCCAGAGACTAAGTTCTGAGTAATGGGATGTGAGAAAAGCGCTGCATGCAACCTGGGTGGATCCTGACTTCACAGAGCAAAGCCACTTGCCTGTTAGGAGGGAAAATAAGCTTCTGTTGGAACGTGATATCTTTGTTACAGCAGTTTAGCTGCGACAGATATCTGTGGGGTGCAGGAAACAGGAGCTCCAGCTCTGGGTGGAGAGCAGTGGAATCCCAGGATGACAGTGAAGGGAGATCCCAGGAGGAGAGCTGTGTTTGGACTTGGATGGCAACCAGTCCAAACTGGAGCACTGGAAGTTCCCGTGTTGAGAGCTTCTGCTGTTGTCTTTTTTTTTTTTTTGAACTCGAGGACAGAGTGTTTAAATGCGCCTGAGTACATCCTTATCTGAAATTCACTTGCCTTGTGCTGACATTTCTGTCCTCCAGGCCCCACCCTTGGCTGGTGGAGGGGGTGTGGGCTTGCCACACGCCCGTGGACGTGGTGAGCTCGGAACTGCTCCTGGAAGCTGGAGGTGGGCCCTGGAAGCAGAAGGTGCAGAACCCCCCATTTCCATGACAGATTTCTGGGGGATGCCCAGTACCTGTACAAAATCCCCAACCACAGGGTGCCTGGGGTTTCCAAGGACTCATTTGGGACCACCCCTCTGGCAAGCTCCCAGGAAACAGAAGCCAGCCTATGACTCAGAGCCTCTGTTCAGCTTATCTTCTCCTGGGGCCCTTCATCTGATACCCCATTCCTTACCCAGCAAGGTTGGTGTTTGCTAACTGCTTTTCAAAACTTAAATGTGTTACTGAGGGGTATTCTGCAGTGTACAACCATGACGCATCGGAACTGCTCTTAGAGAAGCAGAAGTGAGCAGTAGTTTGAAGTGAGATCTTAGTTCCCTGCCCAGGAATTGAATCTAGGGAACCTAGATGAAAACCAAGAATCCTACCTGCTAGTCCACCAGGGGCTGGGGGCTAGAAGCAGAATTCCCTGGCCCCTTGCCCGCATTTCTCAAGAGGGCAAAAACTGTAAAAACATATCCAGGGTTTATTATTAGAGTCATAGTACCGCCAAGTGGGAGGGCACACAGAGAAACCGCTTGTTTAGACAGAAGAAAGACAAAGACAGCAGCCTGGAGAGAAAGGGTGTGAGCGTCTCCCCACTGGGGAGACGCACAGTAAAGAGGCAGGTAAATCACCCATGTGGGGCAGTTCTTCTGGGTCTTTCTTTACTTCTGGCCCGTTGTCTGGTTTCTTTTTCCACGCCTGACCTGCTCTAGAACCCTCCACCACATTCATGTGCAGCTTTTTTCCAAGAGGGATCCCAGCCCAGAGGCCTATGGGAAGCCTTGACATCACCTCTTCTGGGTGGTGCCCCCTCCTTTTTGACCCCCAAAGTTCCTTTCTGTGTGTGTTCATTGTCTCTCTTGCCCCAAGGATGGGAAAAATATGACCTCTGGATCTTTTACTCAAACAGAGTTTAGCCTCTCTCTGTTCCTGCCATCAGTGTTACCTTTAAGCGTCCTCAGGAGCCAAAGCTTGGCTATTTACCCTGTTTCTGTTGTTATTCCTATCTCAAAGTACAAACAGGAGGCTAGGTGTAAATATCTAACCTGGAGCCCACCTGTCTCCTATCTCAAGAGATGCAGATTGGAGTCTAGTTATAGGTGTCCAGCCTGAAGCCCGTCTTTTTCTCACTCCCCAGAAGTGTCACCTGGAGGTCAGTTGTAAATGCCTCGTCTGGGGCCCATCCGTCTCCTGCGTAGAATGACTACAACAAAAATGAACTAGAGGGGACTTCCCTGATGGTCCAGTGGCTGAGAATCTGCCTTGTAATGCAGGAGACGCGTGTTCGATCCCTGGTCAGGGAACTAAGAGGCCACATGCCACGGAGCTACTGAGATGGAGATCCACAAACAGTGACCCCCAGTTGTGGATAAAGAAGATAAACCAGGAAGAAGATGCCTCGTGCCGCAGCTAAGACCCAGGGCAGCCAAATAAGTTTAAAAAAAGAACTAGAGATCATCTCAGTGAAGGGAGGAAGGGGCCACTTTGGGAAGGGGCACATGGGTCTTGTAATTTATCAGTACCTTGGAAGCACTCTGTGATATAGGTTCTCTATTTCTTAACTTAGGAGGCAGACACATGGGTGTTTATTTACCTAGCACTTCCCAGGTGGTGCGGTGGTAAAGCATCTGCCTGCCAGTGCAGAAGACACAGGAGATTTGAGTTTGATCCCTGGCTCGGGAAGACCCCCTGGAGGAGGAAATGGCAACCTACTCCAGTATTCTTGCCTGGAAAATCCCATGGACAGAGGAGCCTGGTGGGTGATGGTCATTGGGGTCACAAAGAGTCAGATATGACTGCGCGCACACACATGCATTGTATATATTCTTATATATCTAATACATTTTATGATATTTCTTAAATAGCTTAAATACCTATGAAAATGAAAAATGTGTATGCAGGACTGGGGCTTGGGAGGGGTGGAATAGTATTTTAGTGTTGTTTGACATTTTAACCACATAAGTGTGTTGCTTTGATAAAATAGACCCTCTGTGCTAGAGCCTGGGCATATGAAGATGTTTACGTGGAGGCTCTTACCTTTGATTATTTCTGAATCTGGCGAGAGACCAATAGAGATGATTACAATGTAGCCTGATGAGAGTTGCAACATATGCAGGGCACTTTAGGATTACAGAAGAGGGCGCAGTGACTTTTTTTTAAGTCAAGAGGCAGTGAGGTGAGAGGGTAGGTCTAGAGGGGAGAGTCTATAAATCAAGCCTTGAAGGCAGGGTTTGAAAGACGAGCAAAGGAGAAGGAAGGGAATCCCGGGAGGGACATGATGAGCAGGGGCAGAGATGGGAAAGGAAGAGCAGGCAAGGGGTCGGGACGTGACCGGGGACTAAGTTTGCACTCTGCTCTTTGCACAGTGCACAGCCTCCGGGGGTGCATTCATAGTGTGGTGTGTGACCTGCGGGTCATCCACAGCCGTCTGGCTGAAGGGAGGGGTTAGGGTCCCTAGGGGAAAGGAGAAGAGAAGCCCAGGGTGCAAGAGTATTAGGAGAGAAATGGGAAAATGAAATGTGGTAAGAAAAAGACTATTATTGAATCCTAAACGTTATTCAATAGGCTCGTGTTAACATGCAAATTATGAAATTTACAAAATCACACCAACAGTGTATACTCAGTGAAAGACAATAGCATGTGCCTTTATTTATAATGGCAGGGGGGACAGATGTGAAAAAAATGCCTAAAATTGGTTTATTTTGCATTTATGACACTCCTTAAAGTCTTGAGAACAATTGGTCAAAAATCACTGTGTGATACATGGGTACTTTAATAGAGAAGAAATTAACCATTCATACATGCGTCTACAGAAAGAAATTAACTTAATATTGCAATTCTAGAATCCTTCACAATAAGGAAATCTTAAGTTTTCATGGAGGGGGAAAAAGGGGAGAGAGAGAAAATCATCTAGAACAGTGTTTCCCAAATTTGGCTATTTTCACAGACATACTTTTTGGGGGAGGGGGATACAGGTTTTCTACGTAACATTTAAATGTTTGTTTTCCTTCTGTGTGTCATCTAAACAATATATGCTTGTTCAGGATTCCCTGGACACCATCTGACCTAACAGTGCCATATGATCACCGCACTTACATTTAGATCTCTCATCCCTGTAGCAGAAAGTGAAGACCAACCGTGCTTAACTTTTTACATGGTTTCTCTCGGATTGAGAGACAGAACAGAGAGAACTGTCAAATATTTCCTGTGAAATGTTGTCAGGGTTCAGGGCAGTGGTTCAGAGCAGTGGATCTCAAAGCTGGAAGGGGTGGGGTGGGGTGGGGTGAAGTTGGTGACCTGGGAAGACACCTTTTGAAAAGCACATTCAGAATGCCTGTTGATTTCATAATACAAATTCTAGAAAGTCAGACTCAAGAAAATAATTTTCAGGCAGTGGTAGAAAACCAACTCTAGCTTCATGCTTGGGCGCCTGAGATACACTTGGTTGAGAAACACTGGAGTTAGAGGTAGAGGCATCCCGGCTTGAGGAGAACACTTGGTAAGAACATGTGCCAAAGAGAAGGACCATCTTTTGGGTCAGTGAGTGAACCCTAAGCATATCTTGTCATGGTCCCTGGGAACCCAAAGGGCCAATCCACAAGAAACCTGAGACATCCATCAGACTGCTCAGACCTGTTATTTTGGGCAAGTTGGTCCCTTTTTAATGCTGAGTCAAAAGAAGCTGTTGACTTCCCTCCCCTTTTATTGAGTTTAATATATTTCAGAATTTTAAGTAAATAGGTGCTGTAACTGGGCACAGTCGCCCCAGGTCTACCCTCCAGGAACTGCTGTCATTATCTGCAATGCCATCCTGTCCCCAAGGGGGATATCAGCCTGGGTCCGCTCTGCTAGAGAAAAAAAAAAAAAAAAAAAAGATTTGGATCTCCTTAGAAAGAGCAATTCCCCTCATTTCTCTTTCATTATTAGAACACTGACTCTTGCTATTTAAACACAGTCGGTTACAGATGGTCTTGAAGTGCAAGTTGCCAGTGGAATACTAATGCAGCTAAAGAGATCTGGCGAATATGGGGGACTCTAATACCCACCACAACCTAGAGGTTGTTGGGGGGATAGTATTTCCCACCTTCCCCGGAAAGGCACAGGTTTTCTTTCATTCTTAATCTAAGCCTGAATTGTTAAAAAGTGTATCAAATAGGAGACATTTGGCACCGCACAGGGTGAGGCCAGAAAGCTAACCCAGACAGACACAGTCTGTTTACTTGCTGGGATAAAGTTGTAGAACTGTAATTCAAGATTTGTAAAACTATTTGCTTTGAAAGGGATTCGGTTGTGCTTTTCAGACCTTGTGTTTTCACTTCTGTGGCTATTCTGAGTAATCCCTGCAAACTTTGTACTCATTGCTCAGGGCTTAATTATTAATTAGTGGGCAATAAGTACCCTTCAAAGAACATTTTAATTTGAACACCTGAAGTTTCTCCTTTGGCTTAAAAAACAAACAAACAGTCTTTCCACAGATGAGTCAGTGGAATTGGCCTGGTTTGAAGGCCTCTTGCTCCAACAAGAGCTGCAGGGAGGGGAACCCATCAGATCCCAAAGGGATCTTGATTCCTTTCTGAAGAATCCATCACCCTGTGGTTTTCCATCCAGTCAAAGATCTTCTTTAGGTTACAACTTAAGAAAACTGGTTGGTCATTTGGGAAGCCAACTGAATTGCATTGGCTTTGCAGGGTGAACACAGGTACAGCAAAAATTACCTTGGTTTCACGTTGCACTTAGGAGATTTCAGGCTGTTTCCCATGGCCTGTGAGCTCCGGCCGCTGCCCACATTTGCTACTGTTAATACCTTCCCTTCTCACTGCCCTTCACTCAGTCTGCTCTTGCTTGCTTTGGGTTCCTTGAATGTTCCATACTTGTCACCTCAGGACCTTTCTACTTTCTATTCCTTCTGCCTGAAAAGCTCTTCTGCCTATCATTATATGGTTGTCTCCTTCTTGTCAATCAGGTCTTGGCTCAGCCAGCCCCTCGGAAAAAGGCCTTTCCTCCCCACGTTAGCTCAGGTTGCCCCCTACCCCTCTGCCATGTTGTATCAAATTATTCACTTGTTTCAGGCATTATTTAACTTGTTTTTGATCCGTCTCCCTCTCTAGAATATAAGTTCCATGTTATCTTTTGTTCATCTCTGTATTTCCAATGTCTGGTACAGTGTCTGGCCCATAGTAAGTGCTAAATAAATATTTGTTAAACGAAGGTTGAGTGAAAAGCTTTCCTCCCATTGATGCACTTAATCTGTTTGTAAAAGGGAAACTGGTACATGAGGTCACAATTCCCCAAATCACCCCAGATCATTCTTTGCCTATCTTGGGTGCCTTCCTAGATTGTAATAAAACATGGTAGTAGAATTCCACCATCTCTCAGTGTCCTGGCCCAGAGTCCCACCTGTCACTCACCTCTAATTATTGCAGAGCTCCAATTTGCTTTAGCCGTGTCAACAGTTCCCCTGTCTCGTGCATATTTACTAGATCAGTGCATCCACCTATGCACTCTTGACCAATGAAGACCCGAGGTACCTAAGAAAGCAAACCAACCAGGACTTTTAGGGAACTTCATCATTAGGTTAGACACTTTTATCATTCTCTGAATATTCCCCATGGTCTGAAGCTTTTCAAATCACTTTACAACCTCCTCATGTATACTCTTTCAAGTCAGAACTTTATGAGAAGCATAACATAATTCACTCAAGAAGGCTTTTAAACCAAGATGCTTTTCAAATGGAATGTTCTGTGTGTGTGAGATTGTCTAACTTGTCAAAGTGATTTAAAAATTTCACTCTGCAGGAACACCTTTCCAGGAATGGGTTTTGGTTGGCTGCAGCCAGACCACCCTGATTGAATTCTGGTTTCTCTGCAGCTGGGACCACACGTGCGCCCTTAAACTGAACCATGGCAACCAGAAGGAGTTTGTTAAATACAGCTGGACAAGTATTTCCATCAGTTCTGTCCCTGACTTTTAGGCTCAAAGCTTATGAGAGTTGTCTCTCTCTCTTGTGAGCTCTGCCCCCAACTAGGGAAGAGATGATGGTGTCGGAATCGCCTTCTTTGAAATGCCTGGCCCATCATAGGCTGTTGAAGTGCCATAGCTCTGGGAGCAAAGGCATGCATCTGCTTTGGTTTTGCAGCTGGCATGGGTGGGTCATCCAGGGCCAGTCAGACTGACACAGTCACTCTTCCCACTGAGTGCATTCATCTCGAGTCAAGCTCAGGCTCCCTCCCTGCTGCTAGGTAAGGTGCATTCCAGGATTCCAGGGGCTCTTGGAGTCCTTTCACTGTGGCTCAGACAAGTTCCAGGCCAAGGGTGTTGTAGAAAGGCTGACTGGCAGTGAAGAAACAAGCGCAGTACAGACTCCCTGAGGGGTCAGGAGCAAGCAGGTCCTCTCCCAGAACACTAGGAACATACTAGAAGGGGCAGGAGAGGTTAAGAATATTTTCAGAGCTTTTGCTTTTCCTCTGAAGGCAGTTACTCAGATACATTTTTTTATTGAGGTATAGTTGATGTCCAAGACAAGTTTCAGGTATACAATATGGTGATTCACAATTTTTATAGATTATATTCCACTTATAGTTACTATATAATATTGGCTATACTCTCTATATGGTAGAATATATCCCTGTAGCTTACTTTGTACACAGTAGTTTGGACCTCTTAATCTCCTACCCATGCACTGCCTCTCCGTCTCTCTCCTCATTAGTAACCACTAGTTTGTTCTCTGTATCTGTGAGTTTGTTTCTTTTTTGTTATATTCACTTGTTTGTGGTGGTTTTATTAGATTTCGCATATAAGTGATATGCAGTACTTGTCTGTCTCTGACTTGTTTCACTTGGCATAATGCCCTGAGTCCATCCACATTGTTGCAAAGGGCACACTTTCATTCTTTGTTATGACTGAGTGGTATTCCACTGGTATACACACACCCTGTCTTCTTTATCCATTCATCTGTTCATGGACACAGGTGACTTCCATAACCTGGAAATGGTAAATAATGCTGCTATGAACATTGGGGTGCATGTTCAGATGATTTTTTTTTTTTTAAGGAAGAGAGTTGAGAAAAAAGGGCTGAAATATTTCAGATAAGTCCTTACTATATTTCTATTAAAAAGGGGATCTGGGCGGAAGTAGGCTTTACAAATTAAGGCCCCCGGTTGAAAGAATCCTGCATTGCATTGCCATGGCTACTTCCTGTGTCCAGTGAGAAAGCCTGGCCGTCCGCCGTCTGCCCCCCGCCCCGCACGCCTGTGTGGGAGCTTTGCACGTGGACGCACCATCAAGGCCACACTTTTTTTTTTTTTTTTTTTTAAATCTTAACCAGCTGAAAGAATTTGCAGAAAGATGAGCTCAGAAACCTAAAGTTTCCCCCCTGGATCCTGGCCATTATTTTAGAGAAAATATAGCTCTTCCAGATTGTTGGGGGCCTTTTGGCTTCTGTCTCCCCAGGAACAGTTGGCTGTGGTCAGTTGCAATGGTAAAGAATCCTAATGGAATTCTAATATAATTATAACCCAGGACTGCTTCTGTGGAAAGCATTGCCTAGAGGAGTAAAACTCAGCTTCAAATAAGGAAGCTTTCATTCTTTTTTATTTTTTTAAGGGCTTTTTTTTTATGTGAACCATCTTTAAAGTCTTCTTTGAGTTTGTTACAATATTGCTTCTGTTTTATGTTTTGGTTTTTTGGAGAGGAAGCATGTGGGATCTAGGCACCTGAGATCTTAGCTACTCTACCAGGCATCGAACCCACACCCCCTGCCTTGAAAGGCAAAGTCCCAACCACTGGGCTGCCAGGGAAGCACCATGGAAGGGATGTGTTCATTCTTGAACTTCTATTACTTTCAAAAAGAACTGAGTGATTGTCACTCCTGTTGCTTGCCCCATCTCCACCTCAGACCAGGGGGTCTGGGTTATGTTATTTGGAGAGAAGCCCCTGAGGAGGAAGGAGTCCTCCCCTTAGACAGCAGTTCTCAGACCTGAACCATGCATCAGAACGGTGGTGGGCTTGCTAAAACATAGATTTCTTACACCTCCCCACCCCACATTTATGATACAGGAGATCTGGGCAGGGGCTCAAGAATGCATTCTGACAAGTTCCCAGGTGACTCTCAAGGAGCATATTTGCAAACCACGGGTTGGCACTGAGAGCGGTTCCTTCCTCCTGGGGTGACTAATTGAGGCTTTGGAAACCCACAGCTCCATGGAAGCCCCCAGCCTGCGAAGGCAGGCCTGAAACACGATCAGATCAGATCATCCAGGCTGTCCCCAGGGCGGAGTTCTGCGCCTGCCATCTGGCACACAAGCTGCTTGTGAGAGCTGAGAGCTGGAGGCCCCATTGCTCTTACACCCCCTCCTCTGGGCGAGGGAACAGTGAAGACCACGGTAAAGCCCATCCAAGGTCCAACAAAGGTCCGTCTAATCAAGGCTATGGTTTTTCCAGTGGTCATGTATGGATGTGAGAGTTCGACTATAAAGAACACTTTTGAACTGTGGTGTTGGAGAAGACTCCTGAGAGTCCCTTGGACTGCAAGGAGATCCAACCAGTCCATCCTAAAGGAAATCAGTCCTGAATATTCATTGGAAGGACTGATGTTGAAGCGAAACTCCAATACTTTGGCCACCTGATGTGAAAAACTGACTCATTTGAAAAGACCCTGATGCTGGAAAGATTGAAGGTGGGAGGTGAAGGGGATGACAGAGGATGAGATGGTTGGATGGCATCACCGACTCAATGGGACATGAGTTTGAGTAAACTCCCGGAGTTGGTGATGGACAGGGAGGCCTGGGGTGCTGCAGTCCATGGGGTCGCAAAGAGTTGGGACACAACTGAGTGACTCAACTGAACTGAAAGCCCGTCGGTTACCAGCTCCCTCAAAGGAAGCTGAACTTGCAGGCTCTACTAGACAGTGTGGGTGGCTGTGGTGACAAAACAGGAAGCTGTTGATGCAGCTGAGAAGGAAGAAAAGGCTCCTGCTCTGTGCCCTCCCCTCCTGGCCCACCCCCTTCTGCGGATGAACTTGAGTCTGTTACATTAAAGAAGCAGGGGACTGCCACCAGAAAAGCAAGCTTGGGAGTTCTGGGGCCCTCCTTCTCCGGGAGTTTACTTCAGCCCCAGCCTCAGCTGAGGTGGCATCTTCTGTTCTCTGTACTGAGTCGCTTCAGTCGTGTCCGACTCTTTGCGACCCCATGGACTGTAGCCCGCCAGGCTCGTCTGTCCATGGGATCCTCCGGGCAAGAATACTGGAGTGGGTTGCCATTTCCTTCTCTAAGGGACCTTCCTGACCCAGGGCTCGAACTCGCGTCTCTTATGTCTCCTGCATTGGCAGGCGGGTTCTTGACCACTAGTGCCACCGTGTTGTTCAGAGGCTCCTACTCAGCTGATTGCCAGCCCTCTGCACCTCCTGGGCTGCTCCCGGGTACGGTTCCTTTCTCACCAGAACTGGTGCTGTAACCCCCAGAGGTCCCCAGCTTCGGTCCGCATCCTGGCCTTCCCACAGCCTCTTTCCCCACAGCCACTGGAATGACCCTTTCAAAGTCAAGTCAGGCAGGATTACTTCTCTGCTCCAAACCCTTCAGCGGCATCTCATCTCCTGTCACATGCCCGGTCCGTGTGCGATAGCTTGAAACGCCGTGCCTACCTATTCCTCATGATCGCAGACCACACCGGCTCCTAACTCACAATGCTGCACCCACACAGGCCTCCTTGCCAGGCAGACTTCTACCCCAGGACCTTAGCACTTGCTGTTCCCACTGCCTGGAATGTCCTACGCCTGCACTTCTGCACGCTTTGCTCCCTCAGTCCCTTTAGAGATCTCTGCAAAACCAGTGAGACCCTGCGGGCTCCATTTAAAACTGTACCTTGCTGCCTACTGCCTACCTCCGTTTCCTACCTGGCTTCTCCATACCACACATCACTTACCACCTTCTAACATACTACTTTATTTATGGCATTTACTAGAATGCAAGTTCCACAAAGGCAGGAAGTTTTGTTTGCTCTGTTCATGGCAGTATTTCCAGTGTTCAGAAAAGTGCCTAGTACAGTAGGTGCTTAAAAATGTTTGTTGTATTCAGCAAAATTATCCTTCAAAAGCAAAGGAGAAAGATGTTCGCACACAAAAATGAAGCAAATTTGTTGCCCAAAGTTCTGCCTTGTGAGGAATGTTCAAAGGCATCCTTCAGAGAGAAGGAAAATGACAGAGGTCAGGAAACTTGGATTTACATAAAGAACGTATTTTGGGAAGAATAAGTGAATGCACTGATCTAGGAACTGTGGCTACAGTGAAACCAAAACCAGTGTCTCCAAGTTGGTGGCCTGATTGAAGTCCTGTGTTTCTGCAATCAACCAAGTCTCCCTGGGCTGCTGCTGTTTGCAGAGCACCGCAGGCACAGCAAGATAGCCACCGTTCTTACGGTTTCCAGTCTCTTTGCATAGAAAGTCTTCACTGGTAAGGATGATGAAGTTATATGTCTTTAAAAGATTTGTTCTCCCCTTGGAGGAATGCATTCAGGACTTGAGAACCTTTGAAAAGTATCTTGAAAAATTCAAAAACAAACTTTGAAAGATCACTAGAAGAAAAAGTGTTAGCTTTACAATGCATTGGGGGTGAAAAAAAGCTGTTGAATGGTTGTGTGAAGAGGTTTGTTTTTCCTGCTAGAGGATAGGTGCTGCTGGTTGAAAGATGTGGCTCCCAAACCTTGTTGCAAATTGGAATTACCTTTTTGGTTTTTTTGATGGGAGATACATTCTATTTTGACCTTCCAGATATTTTGAGGTGTAACTGACAAATCTGTGTATTTAAGGTGTACAATGTCAGGGTCTGATAGCACAGATACACTGAAAAGATTACTGCAGTCAAGTTAATTTACATATCCATTACCTCACAGCTACTACATGTGTGTGTGGTGAGAACACTTAAGATGTAATCATAGCAAATTGCAAGCCTACATTTCACCCCCAGCACTCACTCCTCTTACAGCTCCACGTTTGTATTCATGTCCTAGGGATCTTTAGAACTACTGATGCCTGTCTGCCCCCTCTCCTGTGAGATTTAATTGGCATGGGGTCTGACTGGGGCATTGGGAGTTTTGTTTTTTTTTTAAGTTCCCCAGGTGATTCTGACTTCCCTTGTAGCACACACAGTTGGTAAAGAATCTGCCTGCAATGCAGGAGACCTGAGTTCGATTCCTGGGTCGGGAAGATACCCTGGAGAAGGGAATGGCAGCCCACTCCAGTATTCTGGCCTGGAGAATCCCATGGACAGAGGAGCCTGGCGGGCTGCAGTCCATGGGAGTCGCAGCATTCTGACGCGACTTAGCAACTGAACCACGGCCACAGGTGATTCTAATGCGCAGCAACACTTGGGAACTGCCGGCCCCACGGGGTCCCTCACAGCGGGGGCCACAGCTGTGCCCACACTGGCCTTTCCCCGTAGGACCCAGGCAGCCTGTGTAGCTGGTGGTCCACCAGGCAACAAGAGGCCCTCTCGTTCTCTGCTCCAGGACCTTCCTAAGACCAAGGGTCCTCAGCTCCCAATGCGAGCCCTGGAAGCAGTAGGGTTTTGCCTCCCTCTGTACCAGAATGCTGATTTCTGATTGGAGCAGTGGGGATAAATGGCTTCCCAGGCTTCCCCTTGAGAACCTAGGAAAAAACACCATCAAATCCAAACTAAACCTCAACTAGGACATGTGCGTCTGCAAACACTGTATCCTAGAATGTGCATCCCGAAAGAAGGCTGGTGGGACATGATCCGCCCCCACGCTCCCACCCCAGCACCTGCGCAGATCTGGTGGCCTGGCTGGCTGGCCATTGCACCAGAAGCCCTGGGTGCTAAGAAACAGGAAGTCCTTTCACACGGAGGAGGGCGTTAGGGGCCCCCCGCTGTCTACTCAAAGCAAAAGGGCCGTGGAGGTCACCTTCCTCTGGTCTGGTGTTGCAGCCAAGGGGTGTCCTGAGGGTCACAGGTGGGGTGACTTGCCAAGATCACAGAGCAAGCCACTCTGAGAGCCCGTCCGGAACTCTGGCCTCTGACCTCCATAACTCGACAGGCCTGGAATATCCCGTCATTTAGGTCAAGGAGCCACAAGGAGCCATTAGGTTGTTTTTTTTTTACCCCAGTGGGAGGAATGAGATAAGATACGGAAGAAGGAGCAAATTTAAGGTTGAAGAGAGCCCAGAGGAAAAGACTGAAGGACAGCAAATGCCACCGGGCCCTGTGAGCCCGGAGGAAAGAGGGTTCTTGCTCAACTGCAGACACGGAGGGCTCACCCGTGGCCCCTCCACCCGTCCTTCCACCGCCCAGCCCTGCACACTCAGGCTGTCCGCGCTGAAAACAAAGACTGACGAGAGCTCCTCGGCGGCGGCGATTCCGGGACACAGCTGCCGGCCCGCGCCCTGACGCCCAGCACGGGTCAGCTGCGCGCCCTCGTCCCGTCCCAAGGGCCGAGGTCTGCTGCCCATTCAAGGAAGCGGTTCTTGTCTCAGGCGCCCTCCCCCACACCCGCTCAGAGCGACGGAGCCCTAGCGGTGTCCCCGAGGAAGGCACGGGCCACCCCAGTCACAGACAAAGGCATCTGGGAGCCTCTCCCCCCGGTCTTTGAGCAGGAGACCCCAGGCTTACCGTTCTGGCTCCGGTGAGCTGCTGCAAGTAATCTTGAATCTCACTGGTGTCACCGGCGGCTGTGATATCGACAAATTCCAAAAGCCCTTGTTTGAAGGGCAGTTGGCTGAGAAGCTCCTGAGTCTTTCTGCAGTAGGGGCAGGTGGGCTTGATGAACACGACCACCTTCCCAGGCTGGATCTTGCTGTCAACGAATGCTTGAGCCATGCTGCCTCCCTCCGGGAAGGACACCTTGACTGCAGGTAGAGCTCGGGAGTAAAAGCCGCGGCCGACCAGCTGGCTCTTATTTAAAGGAACCTCCCTGGAGGAGGAGTTTGCCCCCACGGCGTGCTCGATTTTTAAAGGGCCAGCCCTGAAAGTCATTTCAGTTTGGAGCGATGCACCGGCTAGAGCTTTGGAGCATGAACCGCTACATCGCGGGGTGTCATTGTCCCCAGCTCTTTCAGGGCGCCACTCTGGAGAAGAAAACAGAGCCAGCTCACTCTCTGGAGAGTCTGAAGGTTGCAGACCAGCTCCAGGGAGGGAGCCTGAGCGGTCAGGCAGGCAGGCACCTCTTAGAGTCTGTTCTTATTGTCCCTCAGGGCTTCCCTGTAGCTCAGTCGGTAAAGAATCTGCTTGCAATGCAGGAGACCTGGGTTCGATCCCTGGGTTGGGAAGATACCCTGGAGAAGAGAAAAGTGAAGGGAGAAGGCTACCCACTCTAGTATTCTGGCCTGGAGAATTCCATGGACTGCATACTCCATGGGGTCACAAAGAGTCGGACAGGACTGAGCCACTTTCACTTCACTTATTGTCTCTCAGAGACACAGTTTCTAAAAATACACACAAACAGCATTATTCAAGAAGCAGAATGCACTGAAATCTATTTAGAAGTGAAAATCAGATTAGGACTTTGCGTCTAGTCTTGCCTGCCCTGTTTGTTGGCACTGTTTAATGGAATTGCTCCCCCAGCTTCAAACATCTGGAGATTGCACAGAAGAATCTGGCCCTGTGGCCTCTCCCTGAAAAGTCAGGTCACCTTCAAGAGAGGCAGCAGCTGGAGCTGAGGCGTGGCTGTCCTTGGAGGGGGCAGAAGCTGGCTCCCGGCTGGCCCACACTCCTCATCCATAAGCTTTTGAGTTTGTGATCCTCGAACAGCAGTTTAGCATGGAAGTGAATTCTAGCACAAACCCTAATTTCAAACTGCAGATCCAGTGAGGGTCTTTTTCTCTGTTTGATCTCTTTGTTGTCACTGTTTGTGAGTCTGAGTGGTGTTCAGTTCAGTCGCTCAGTCATGTCTGACTCTTTGTGACCACATGGACTGCAGCACGCCAGGCCTCCCTGTCCATCACCAACTCCCGGAGTTTACTCAAACTCATGTCCATCAAGTCAGTGATGCCATCCAACCATCTCATCCTCTGTCATCCCCTTCTCCTCCTGCCTTCAATCTTTCCCAGCATCAGGGTCTTTTCCAATGAGTCAGTTCTTCACATCAAGTTGCAAAAGTTATTGGAGTTTCAGCTTCAGCAGCAGTCCTTCCAATGATTAGTTAGGACTGAATTCCTTTAGGATGGACTCGTTGGATCTCCTTGCAGTCCAAGGGACTCTCAAGACTCTTCTCCAAAACCACAGTTCAAAAGCATCATTCTTTGGTGTTCAGCTTTCTTTAGAGTCCAACTCTCACATCCATATATGACTACTGGAAAAACCATAGCCTTGACTAGACGGACCTTTATTGGCAAAGTAATGTCTCTGCTTTTTAATATGCTGTCTAGGTTGGTCATAACTTTCCTTCCAAGGAGCAAGTGTCTTTTAATTTCATGGCTGCAATCACCATCTGCAGTGATTTTGGAGCCCCCAAAAGTAAAGTCTGTCACTGTTTCCATTGTTTCCCCATCTACTTGCCATGAAGTGATGGGACCAGATGCCAGTTGTTGTCACTGCAAGTCTGAGTGGTGTAATAACTCACTTGTTTCACACTCACCTGAGTGTTACGACACTGTAGGACTTGCTGCTCTGTCCTGTGGGGCCCACGCTCCTGAGTGGGGTGAGCAATGCCCTTGGTTCTAGGGCCAGTCCTGACCCCTCTGTGTGCGGTCAGGGACACATAAAACAGGGGCAACCATCTCCTCTAGAAGTGGACTCTCCTTTTCCCCCATGAAGTTTTACACGGAAACTCGGGCTGCAGGTCGGACCTGTACACTCAGTGATTGTCACGTAGCGTGACTGAGAGAAGGAAAGAAAACTGACTCCTGGAAGCAGCTCTCATTATTCCTAAAATTACGTGGCCAAACAGAAACCCAGACTCTGAGTCACAGAGCGGGACTCTAAGTGACGTCTCTGTCACTGGAAAGAATGTGCTACAGGCATGCGGGCTGAGGCGACTGGTTCTCGTCAGGCTTGGGACTTCCCAACCCACAGCTTCATTCTCTCTGGAGTAAGCTCCCGGCACAGTCCTTGTCACCTGCCGCCATCTCCTTCCTTTCACTTGGACTCCTGCTGCCAGGCCCCTGGCTGAAGCCCAGCGTCTCCTCAGGGCTCACCTGCCCGAGGGTCCTCAGCTCACCTTGCACCCCGTGTTTCCCTCAGACCCGCCCTCCTCTCCGCGTCTGGGGTCGCCTCTCTCTGTCCTGCTGGTTCCTTCTCCTCAGCGTGTGACTCTGGGCAAGTTGCTCCCTTGTTTCAGACCACCACCTTCTGTCTCCTTAAACCCTCCTGCCCTCTCCCCTAACAGCCAGCTATCATAGTACTTGCTGTTATGTTTGCCATCTGGACTTCACCCACGTCCCACCCTCTCCTCTCCTCGACGCAATCTGCCCTCCTTATCAACCGTCCTGCTGAAACGCCTTTGGCCAACATCGATCCTGACCGCCAAGTTGCTAAATCACCTTGTAGCCAGGTGTCCTGCCTGGCACCATCCCAGAAGTGTGGGTGTAGAGTTTTTTGGTAAACTGGTGGAGTGAAACTCCCAAAGGATCTGTTTGTGTAGGGCCCCTGGGGGTGTTGGGTCCCTGGGGCAGAAATCAGGGTGCAGGGAGGTGGTGGTGGGCCTGTGTTTTCTGCCCTGGAGCTCAGGTCCAGGACGGATAGCCACAGGACACAGATGAAAAAGGCCTTTTCATGAGACGTGGAACACAGATGGCAAAGAAGGGGCTTCTCCACTTTGCAGACAGTGCTGTGGCTTCGCCTCAGGGAGGAATTCAGAGCATAGCATACTCTATTGCCTTGATGTCATGAAAGTTTGTAGCTTTGGCACATGGGGAGATGGAACCCATGGATCTTGGGAACAGTTCAGGGCAGGGAGCCACCACGGGAGCTGCCATCCCCAAGTGCCGTGGACATCAAGATGGGGTGTGTGGGGAAAAGACACGAGGACTCTTGGGATTGTGCTCGACATACCTAGGCACTCCCAGAAACGCTGAGAAGCTCGGACTTTTTTCTAGGGAGTGGAGATGCTGCTGTGCAGAGAGTTGGCAGTGAGCTATGATACATGTGGAATATGAAATACGGGCTGCTACTATTAATGTGATCTCATTTGTACCGCAGGCTGACAAGGGTGGGGACAGTTTGGCCCACAGAAGAGCGTTTCTCAGGCTCTTTTGCTTACTTGCCACTTTGCAGGATTTGACTCTGTAGATCACTCCTGGTCACGCCTGTCTCCCTTCCCCGCCAGCTCCCTTCTTCCTAATATCACATGCAACTTGATCTCTCTCTTTTCTTCCTGTATCCCTGGGTATTCTGTCTCAGCTTCTGCCTCAGGAATTTTGCCTACACATGTGGTATATCCTGGGCCTTGCACTTCTTTTCACTCTGTGTACCCCCACTGTGGAAGATTTCATCTGCATGCATGGCTCCAGCTATCACTTTTTTGTTGACGAGTTCCACGTTTACTTTTCTCGTGGGGAACTCTTTCCTGAGCCTCAGGAATGGATCGTTCACTGCCTGCTGAGAAGACCCACCTGGGGTTCCTCAGCATCTCAGCCTCAGTGTGACCAAGATGGCAGCTACCCTTCCCTCTTCCAAATACCTGCTCATCCTCCCAGGGTACCGTCATCTGCCTGCAGGGCAGAAACCTGGGAGGCATCTTGACCGTGGCTTCCTCACCTGCCCCCTGCTTTTTGTTTTGCAGAGTCACCAAACTCTAACAGCGAAGCCGAATCTGAGCCGCTGCCACGCTTCCACTGCTCGCACTTTCATTGCTTTGAGCCTGTTCCTCTCTCGGTCCAGAGTGGCCCTGACCTGTCTTTCTTTCTGCGCGGCTGACTTCTCTGGTCCAGCACTATCCAGATCATGTGCAGAGCCTCTGGGAAGACCCCTGAACACAGCTCTCTTCTCCCCACTGGGCTGAGTGCCCCTGGCTGAACTCACACAACTTGCCATACCCTGACTCATCCCACTTCACTGTTCTTTTTTTACTCCCTTTCTGTCATCTACAGTGAGCTTCCTGAGATCAGGGAAGGGGCTTTCATCCCCATGTTACCAGAGCCCAGATGCACACTGGTCCTTATCCACCCACCAGGGCATCCACCCTGCTGTTGCTTAGTCGCTCAGTCGTGTCCGACTCTTTGCAACCCCATGGACTGCAGCATGCCAGGCCTCCCTGTCCTTCACTATCTCTCAGAGTTTGTTCAAACTCATGTCCATTGAGTCGGTGATGCCATCCAACCATCTCATCCTCTGTTGTCCCCTTCTCCTCCCGCCTTCAATCTTTCCCAGCATCAGGGTCTTTTCCAAGGAGTCAGCTCCTCGCATCAGGTAGCCAAAGTATTGAAGCTTCAGCTTCAACATCAGTCCTTCCAATGAATACTCAGGACTGATTTCCTTTAGGATGGACTGGTTGGGTCTCCTTGCAGTCCAAGGGACTCTCAAGAGTCTTCTCCAACACCACAGTTCAAAAGCATCAATTCTTCGGTGCTCAGCCTTCTTTATGGTTCAACTCTTACATCTGTACGTGACTACTAGAAAACCCATAACTTTGACTGTCCTTACCTTTATCAGCAAAATGATGTCTCTACTTTTTGGTACACTATCTAGGTTTGTCATAGCTTTTCTTCCAAGGAGCAAGCATGTTTTTATTTCATGGCTGCAATCACTGTCTGCAGTGATTTTGGAGCCTAGGAAAGTAAAGTCTGTACTGTTTCCCTTGTTTCCCCATCTATTTGCCATGAAATGATGGGACCGGATGCCGTGATCTTAGTTTTTTGAATGTTGAGTTTTAAACCAGCTTTTTCACTCTCCTACAAACATTTATTAATCAGCTACTCTGGACCAGACACAAAGATCCCATGCAGCCCCAGCTCTTAGGACTTTTTAGCTTTGTGGTGGAGAGGAGGGCGGGGGGATACAGACATAGCAAATAAACCCAGTGTTAAGAGTATTCTACATGGTATAATAGAAGTCTGTATGGGCATCAGGGTAACCAAAAGAGAGTGGTTATTTTTGCCTGGAGGGTGCTTAGGGAAAGGTTGATGAAGATGAGTTAGGCTGAATCTTGAGAGAGATACTTTTGAGTCTTCAGGGTGGGGACGTGCACTTCTGGCAGAGGGAACAGGAAACGCCAGGATGACACAGAGGGCTCCTGGTGTTGAGTGTAGTCACGTGTGGATAGAGCATTAGGGGTTTGAGGTGGGGAGTGGGGAGAGAGACAGCTGGAGAGCGTGCAGATCGTTGGGTGTGTTTTACCAAGCTGAAGAGTGAGGACTTTACATAGAGGAGTGAGGAGCCTAATGGATAAGCAAAGTAGATTTGCAGTTGTGTTCGATGAGATCAGCACGTTGTGATATCTCTCTCGTAACACACTGAGTGGTGAAACTTTGACCACAGAAGGAGTGATAGGGCTGCTTTGAAGCAGACAAACCTTTAGAATCCTTCAAGAATCCCTGGGACCCGTCCTGGCTTCCACAAGGCTTGGAGTTTGCAGAGGGGCAGCTCAGCAGGTGATGAGCTGTCAGTGTTCTGAGCTGTCCTCAAGACTTCCTAGACTCATCACGGCTGCCCTTGGCCCTGTCTGTCTGTCTGTCTGCAACTCTAAGGGTTCGGCTGAATGAGCCACGTTGCCAGCAGCGCTTTCCAACCTCAGACCTGTGAAGATCCCGGTTGGTGGCTGTGCCCATTTTCAGAGTCTAATCTTGTCTGATGCTCTTTCTCTCTCTGGATCTCTCAAGATCTGACCACAGAGCACCAGTGTGACTCTCATTGACCCTTACTCCCATTTGACCACAGAGGATTCTGGCTGACTCTTACTGTGGTCTTTTTCATACTGTTCATGGGGTTCTCAAGGCAAGGATACTGAAGTGGTTTGCCATTCCCTTCTCCAGTGGAGCACATTTTGTCAGAACTCTCCAAACATGACCCATCCATCTTGGGTGGCCCTACATGGCATGGCTCATAGTTTCACTGAGTTAGACAAGGCTGTGGTCCATGTGATCAGTTTGGTTAGTTTTCTGTGATTGTGATTTTCATTCTGTCTGTCCTCTGATGGAGAAGGATAAGAAGCTTATGGAAGCTTCCTGATGGGAGAGACTGACCTAGGGGAAAACTAGGTCTTATTCTGATGGGCAGGGCCATGTTCAGTAAACCTTTAATCCAATTTTCTGTTGATGGGCGAGGCAGGTTCCCTCCCTGTTGCTTGGCCCGAGGCCAAATTATGGTGGAGGTAATGAAGATGATGGTGACCTCCTTCAAAAGGTCCATGCAGTCTGTGCTACCCTCAGTGCCCCCGACCCTGCAGCAGGCCACTGTGGAAAGCCAGAGCTGGGGATGAAGAAGGGCAAATACTGCCCTCTTATCCACAATGTGAGCAGCTAAGAGACATTTGCCTTTCTTCCCTGTTGCCCCTCCCAGTCCCCAGTCTTGAAAAAGGCGGGGGGTGGGGGGATACCATTGAGCTGAACATGTGTCCTCTCCAAGGGCAGAGCGAAGGAGCAGATATGGAGGTCCCTCCCAGCCAGCAGTGCTGGGCTTGTGTGGTGGGCTTGGAGCTGATATGAGATTGGAATTATAAACTAGAGTAACTAAAGGTGAACAAAATCTGTTCATCTTCTTCCCACCCTATAGAGAAGGGAGATTGGACAGAGCACCGTAATAACTCATAATCAGTGAAAAATAAAAACACTCCAGGTTAGCTTCCTGCAGCTTCGTATATTTAAATATATATAGACTATCTCTCAGTCGTGTCTGACTCTTTGTGACCCCATGGACTGTAGCCCACCAGGCTCCTCTGTCCATGGGACTTTTCCAGGCCAGAATACTGGAGTGGGTTGCCATTTCCTCCTCCAGACTATCTCTGGGCTTCTCAGGTAGCAGGATGGTAAAGAATCAGCCTGCTAATGCAGCAGATGCAGGAGATGTGGGTTCAATCCCTGGGACGGGAAGATCCCCTAGAGAAAGAAATGGCAACCCACTCCAGTATTCTCAGCTGGAGAATCCCATGGACAGAGGAGCCTGGTGGGCTGCAGTCCGCAGGGTCACAGAGTCAGACGTGACTGAGCTGGCGTTCACAGAGTGTCTCTAGGGGGACGCACAAGAAATGGGGAGCAGAGCCTGACTCTGGGGGAAGTGGACTTGGGACCGAATGCGGGCCAGGGATGAGAGGAAACCTGCTTCCTGTGTACCCTTTGCAGTGTTTTTTGTCTGCTTGTTACTGTGAGTATATTACACAGGATTGGCAGAAGGCACGCCCAAAGCAGTCAGAGAGGAGTGGTGGAAGAAGTGGCAACAGGACCCTTCGATCTCAGAAAAAGTTGGCCTGTTTCGCCTCTTTAATGGATCAGGTTCACACTGAGGTGCAAACGCCAAATTCCTTTCTGCCCTAGCAGGGTCAGGGTGCAGGGCTGGTGGAGGCTACTCTGCAGGAACAGCAGAGAACAAGTTGTTCTCAGCTTGTTCCTGAGAAGCAGAAGAGGTGAGGATGAGCCTGCATGCTCACCCACAAGCCACGTGCTGGGAGCCGGGGACAGAAGAGACACTGCAGGACTCAAGCCCTCCATCTGCGCGTCCTGCACCTGGAGCAATCTCTCACCCACACCCAGGATCATGAGGACATTCCCGAAGGCATGGAACCTGACCTCGGTCTTGTCCTTGAATGGATCTTCTGCAAGTGCTTGTCCAGAAAACCTCACCACGTGCAAGGATGAGTCAACGAGAAGGAGCCGGCACGAGATCTGTGTACTGACAATGCAAGAGGAAAAGCCTGGAAGCTGGAAGAGAGGCAGTGTCCACAACATTACAAAGAGTATGTATGAGGATTCTGCTTGTGATATTGTTGGTAAAAGCAACAACCACCACCTTAAATCCTGAGAACTAGCCAAACACTCATGAGCTGTTGTTGAGTTGCTAAGTTGTCTCCGACTCTTTGCAACTTCATGGGCTGTATGTAGCCAGGCTCCTCTGCCCATGGGATGTCCCAGGCAAGAATACTGGAGAGAAAGTAAGAGTGTTAGCCACTCAATCATGTGCGAATCTTTGTGACCCCCTGGACTGTAGCCCACCAGATCCCTCTGTGCATGGGATTCTCCAGGCAAGAATACTGGAGTGGGTTTTGCATTTCCTTCTCCAGGGGATCTTCCCAACCCAGGGATCAAACCTGCATCTCCTGCATTGCAGGTGGATTCTTTACTACTGAGCCACTGGAAGAACTTGAGAATGACCCAAACACATAAGTAAGGAAGTTATTACACAAATCATGATAATCTACATAACTGACTTGAAAGCCTTAAAAATAGCAAGTTATATATGTGTTCCTAAAAAAAAGGTATTCAAGATATATAATTTTAAGTGATTTAAATAGGGAATATGAGGAGATAATGCAAAATTCTAATAATACAGAATGGTGTTAGTATACAGTAAAAGGAAAGTTGCTCCATCACCCTGATGTCCCAGCTGCTAAGATCCTCTCACCAGGAGCAGCCACTGTTCCCAGATACTTGTGCCTGGATATATTAATGAACTTTTTAAAAAACTAAGGTCAGAATAGCATGTGATTCTATTTGCATTAAATTTTAAAGTATATATATATGTGTGTGTGTGTGTGTGTGTGTATGTATGTATATAAAATATATATGTAATGCATAATATGTATATATATACATACACACTGGAGAAGGAAATGGCAACCCATTCCAGTATTCTGGAGAATCTCATGGACAGAGGAGCCTGGTGGGCTACAGTCCATGGGTTCACAAAGAGTCAGACATGACTAAGTGACTAACACACACACATACACACACACCATACAGTATAAAAGCAATATATATTGTTTTTCTGAAAAGCAACTCAGGACCCTATTAATCAATCAATCAATTAATTCCTATAGTCATCTTTAGTGACATGACCAGCAGTCAGATGAGGGTTTGGTAACCTGATCAAGTCGGTAGTATTTTATTTTGAAAACATTTTAAGTTATAAGACACATTCTCCCTGGTCAAAACGGTTACTCCATAGTTTGTTCCCAGGGGTTTGAAACATTCAGTGAAACTTTGATTGCATGATGTATTTTTTTTTTTAGAACGTTATTGTTTGAGAATAATGTCTTTTTATACCAGGAAATAGTAATCCTGAAATTTGAATATCCTGAAAGTTGAAAACTTTCCCTCCCCTTTATTATTATTTTTTTAATCAATACATGTTAAAGTAACAAGCAAAAACAAAACAAAACAAAAAAAAACCAATATAAAATTATCTGAAGTCACAGTGATCACTCTTCAGGTGGCCGTTTGAGGCCAACCCAGCAGAAAAAGTAGGATGCTGGCCAAGAACTGGCAAGGACTGGTGGCACTCGAGGCCCCGGGCAGAAGTGCCATGGTAAAGCCGCGGGGGGGGGTTGTCTAAGCTGGCCCGGCAGCACGGGCCTCCTGGAGTGCAGTTCGGTCTCACGCTGCACGGGGCTGACCTCTGTGAACAGGCTAGAGTGGGAATGATGGGCATGACTTCGGAGTTAGGACTTCGAGGACACTGCGCTTCTGCCTTGCTCTCTCCTGGATCCATCGCTGTGCCTACAGCCGCGCTGTGAGCCCCGCTCAGGCCGTCCCACGTACCAGTCGGGGAGGCATAGACCTGGTGGTCCAGTCCGCAGCCGTGGACTGAGCCGTCTGGGGGGGCGCGTCCTGCAGCCCAGCTTCAGGTAGCCGCGGCCTCAGCCAGAACCTCAGCTGCAGCCTCATGAAGGCCTGGGCCAGCCAACTGTCCGTGGACTCCTCACCCTCACATGCTGCCTGGGAATAATAAATGCCTGCAGTTGCAGGCAGATACGTTTGGGGGCAATTTGCTGTGCTGCGATGGAGATCTGGTAAGCAGGCCGAGGCACCTGGGGCTTACCCCGCAGGCAGTGGGGGGACTTGATGGCTTCTCTGGCACTGTTTGGAGGTGGGGATAGGCCTTCTGCTCACGGGCTCCCTCGGGGTCAACGGGGTCAACGTAAGGTGTGATCAGCTTTCAGCCTAAAGGTCTTCAGAGCTGACTTGTGGGAAGGGGTGGGGTGGTTTGGGGCGCACGCGCGCAAGTGTGTGTGTGTGTGTGTGTGTGTGTGTACAATATTCGGGTATGTTAATCAGCATTGACCCGTTATGCCTTCCCCTTTGCCCCCAGTGTGACTATGAATCCTACTTTAGTTATGAGATCTTTTCAGTTTTTTTTTTCCTTAATAGAATTCTTTTTTAGAGTAGTTTTAAGGTTACAAAAAAAAAATTGAGAAGAAAGTGCAGAGATTTACCATATACCCCCTGCTCCCGCAGGTACAGAGCCTCCTCCATTATCACCATCCCCCCCCAAAGTTTGTTACGTTTGTTACAACCGATGAACCTACACTGACACATGATCATCACCCCAAAGCTTGTAGTTAACATTAGGGTTCTCTCTTGGTGTTGTGGGCTTCCCTGGGTAGCTCAGCTGGTAAAGAATCTGCCTGCAATGCGGGAAACCCCAGTTCGATTCCTGGGTTGGGAAGATCCTCTGGAGAAGAGATAGGCTACCCAGCCCAGTATTCTTGGGTTATAATTCTACAAGGTTGAACAAATGTAGAATGACATGTATCTTCAGAGTCGTTCCACTGCCCTCAGAATCCTCAGTGCTCTGCTTCTTCATTCCTCTCTCCCAAGCAGGAGCTTTATTCCATGTTTTACCTTCTTCCCTGAATCTTTACCGTCTGCATGTATCACTTCTGTTTCAGTTCAGTTCAGTTCAGTTGATCAGTTATGCCCGACTCTGTTACCCCATGGACTGCAGCACGCCAGGCCTCCCTGCCCATCACCAACTCCCAGAGTTTACTCAAGCTCATGTCCATCGAGTTGGTGATGCCATCAAACCATCTCATCCTCTGTCATCCCCTTCTCCTCCTGCCTTCAATCTTTCCCAGCATCAGGGTCTTTTCCAATGAGTTAGCTCTTCACATCAGGTGGCCAAAGTATTGGAGTTTCAGTTTCAAAATCAGTCCTTCCAATGAACACTCAGGACTGATTTCCTTCAGGATGGACTGGTTGGATCTCCTTGCAGTCCAAGGGACTCTCAAGAGTCTTCTCCAACACCACAGTTCAAAAGCATCAATTCTTCAGTGCTCAACTTTCTTTAGAGTCCAACTCTCACATCCATACATGACTACTGGAAAAACCATATCCTTGGCAAGATGGACCTTTGTGGCAAAGTGATGTCTCTGCTTTTTAATATGCTGTCTAGGTTGGTCATAAGTTTTCTTCCAAAGAGTAAGCATCTTTTAATTTCATGGCTGCAGTCACCATCTGCACAAAAGTATCTGCATAAAAGTATCATTTTTATGTTTAATTTTTTACTTATTTAAAGCAGTATTGGGCATTAGGGAGTGGAGAAAAGCAGTATAGAATAAGTTTAAAGAGCTTTGGCAGGACAGAGGGAAGTGAGGAAGACAGGGCAATAGCTTAAGGAAACCGCAGGGGAGAGAAAAAGTATCTTTGATGAGAAAAAGTATCTTTTATGATGGAGCGTTGAGTACTTTTTTTTTTTTTGCACAGGAAGTCGCCGATTGAAGGAGGAAAATATAGTGAGAGAGGAGACAGAGCTGAGTGTAGGGGACAGAGAACCAGGGGGGAGGACACATCTTTCGGGGAGCGCTGGTGCTGGGGGCCAAGTTCGGGGGGTGGTTCTGAGGCTGGGGGGTGGGGGCAAGACGGGGGGTGGGGGCAGCTGTGAGAAGCCCAAGGGAGACTCCAGGCTCCAGCCGACACACGGCTGGAACAGCAGACCGTGGGCTCCAGGCTGGAGAGGAGGCAAGTGACGCCAGGAGAAGATGGTGAAAGAACAGAGTGGGGAGGGGTTGATGTCAAAATAGAGATGAAAAACTGGTTCAGTGGCAGGGAGCGAAAAACAGTAATTTTTTTTTTTTTTAAGTTATGCTCAGGAACAGGAAAGTCAGGCTCATCAGCAAGTATTATAGATGCTTGACTGCATGACTAAATGGGAGCAGCAATGTCAGAAATACTGAACCGAGCTATAAAAGCTTTAAAAAAGCAATTTCAAGCCTTTTCTTGGGAAACACAGCTTTCTTCCAGTTAACATCACACTATAGGTAACCTCGGTCTGTTTGGCCAGGGAGGCAGCACTAGAGGAGAACATCAGAAGCCAGTTGGCTGCCAATGCATCAATATATTCATCGCTTCAGATTACCAGGTGTGCAACACCTACCTCTCACAGAGGTGGGAGCTCTATTTATGCACAGCTGGCTCTGAGGAAAATTCCTTACACGTGAGTTGAGATGCTAAAGGCAATGAATCACGAATCACTCAGGGATGCGGCACCTTGAATGGGAAAAGGCAGCTTGTCCCACCTGGAGACAGGCGTTGGGCACATGTATATGGACCTGTCATTTGAAATGACTTGTCCAAAGTGCTTAAGGTAAGACCAAAAGAAGCTGAAACTGGAAGATAAAGATGAAGGCTGACAGAAACTATTGGACAGCATTCCCAGAGTGTCAGGAGATGAACTGTGAGATGCCAGCACCTTAGCCATTCCTTGTTTTGGAAGCTTCCTTTCCATTTCTTTCTATGCAGCCTCCTTTCCTGATTCCTGCACGGTGTGGAGTTCCTTGCAAGACAGAAAAATGTTCTTCAATGGACTTCTGATTAATAACTGTCCATCCAAATGCTGGAAGAGGATGCAGTCGTTCATAATAAAATTGTATCTGTCTATCCCTCTGTGCTAAGGTTTCTAGGGTCTAAAAATTAAAGTGCAAGAACTTCCCTGGTGCTCCAGCGGCTAAGACTTTGCCTTCCAACGCATGGGGTGTGAGTTGAATCCTTGGTGGGAGAACAAAGATTCCACATGCCACACGATGTGGCCAAAAATTAAAACAAATGAGTAAAACTTGTTAAAATTCAAAGTGCACAACCATGTCTAATAGGACAATCTCCTGTGTTTTTCTTTTTACCTGTGGTGCTGTGCTGTGCTAAGTCACCTCAGTCCTGTCTGACTCTTTGCGGCCCCATGGACTGTAGCCCACCAGGCTCCCCTGTCCATGGGATTCTCCAGGCAAGAGTGCTGGAGTGGATTGCCATGCCTTCCTCCAGGGGATCTTCCCGACCCAGGGATCAAACCAGGTCTCCTGCACTGCAGACGGATTCTTTACCGTCTGAGCTACCTGGAAAGCCCTTTTCCTGCGGTGGTTTTATTTATTATTATGTTTAAGCTATTGATAACCTAGCCCGGCAGAAAGATTACATCAGGAATGTGATATAATACAACTGTTTTCACTGAAGCCTTAGACCTTACTATTCCCTAAGCAGGTGGGAGTGTCCCCACACCCCACCCCAAAGTATAACTATGATGCCTCTACTTCCTCTTACAGTAAATAGGAACATATTGCACTGCACTGAAGGTATATTTTATGATTATTGTTAGCATTACTGAGTTTTCCATAATGGTGGCTCTACAGATTTAAATACTTTAAAAACATGAGTAGATTTTTTTATGAAACCAGACATTAACACTAGCAAACTGACACTCAACTTTCGATTGATCTGTCCCACCTGTAAGACATGAATGAGATGTTTCATGTAGTGAATACATATGAATACATTATGCTGACCAAGAGAGATGTTTGCAGACAGCTCCAATAGCTTCTGTGGCAGCAATGGTTATATTTTCATGCATGTGCAGGCACTGTTCTTAGGCACTGTGTCAATTGCTCAGTCGTGTCCGACTCTGCGACCCTGTGGACTGTATAGCCTGCCAGGCTCCTCTGTCTGTGGAATTCTCCAGGGAATAATATTGGAGTACGTTGCCATTTCCTTCTTCAGGGTATGAAACCAAAGTTTTGCATCATTTCTACAGCTCTTTCAAAGGCATCAGTTTCAGCAGCATGCTTGGATGTCACTCAAACTTCCACAGTGATATCCGAAACAATGAGCCATTTACTCTGCCTTCCAAGGTTGTCAGGGGTGAGTTTCCTTTGTATGAAAATAAAAATGTAAGGTATGAGATTCTGCTATATGTGTGTATTTATATTATATATCTGCATATGAATGAGATAGATCTTTATATCCTAACACGAGTGATTTCCCAATGAAAAACACTTCAAATTTTAAAAGTTACAAAGTAATACCTAAATCTTAAATCTTAATATCTAAATCTAAGTTCATGTGTGCATGGACCTGTATACTGTTTGTGGTGTAACTATCTATCCAGAAAGAAGGCTGAAAAACTACAGCAAGCTGTGGGTGGTGTGGCCTCTGAGCAGGAGAGTTGAGGGGACTGTGTTGGGTTTCAGCTTTGCTCTGTAGACTTCTGTATTGTTGGAAACTGGTACAGTAAGGATGTATTCATGTAAGAAGGAAAAAAAAGAGGGACTTCCCTGGTGGTCCAGTGGCTGAGACTCCATGCTCCCAATGAGGGGGCCTGTCTGGGCTCCATTCCTGGTCAGGGAACTAGATCCCACATGCCACAACTGAGAGAGCCGGCATGACCAAATAAATAAACAAAAATAAATATATATTTTTTAAAAAACCAAAAAGACCAAAAATGAAAGCGATGTCGTCAACTCTTGCTCTGCTGGGAAATGAGAGAATCAGAGGGTGGTGACCCAGAAGTGACACATCCCCGTGACTAAGCACAGCTTCCCTGGGAGCTTCCCGACAGACAGACATGAGAGACAGAGGGGACAGAGCCTGGCAGGCCCAGGCCCCCCACTTCTGCAGGCCTGGGGGCCACCAGAGGGCTGAGGGCAGACTGAGCTTGAAGCTTCATCTCAAAGGGCATGACCTGTCAGCAGCTCCAGGGCGGCAGGAAGGGGAGAGGCCTTTTTAAGGTCGCTGGGGAGTAATCTCTCAACAGTTCTCAGAAGATGCAATTGTACGGCTTCCCCTTTGGCCTTTGAGTTACTAAAACACAGAAGTGTCTGTGGAGAAGACGGACCGTCCCCCTGCGATTGGCCATGTTTGGGTGCTCCGGCCGGAGGCAGCGCCATGACTGGGATGTGGCCCAATGCGTAGGGACAGGCGGTCTCCTTATGATGGAAACAGCGGGTGATCAGAAACCGAGGGGATTTTCTGAGAACGAAGCTGTCATCCTGAAGGAAGGCGCGTGGGAATCTCAGCTCAGGGACCCAGCCTTCGAGGCCCTCCTTTTGCTCATGGGAACATTGCCTGATGGTAACGGGATTCCTGAGACCCTCAGGCACCCAGCACGCTGAGAACGGGGGCGCCTCACGAGTCAGTCATCTGAACCCCGCCCTCCCACCAGATTTCAGGGAAAAGGTGTTTTCCCCAGCACGAAGGTTAGAAATAACTGATGCAGAAGATGTCCATTAAGGAGGCCAGAGGGGCACCTAACTTCAGGACCAAGCCTGTCCATTTACGATAGGAGTGCCAGGGCCACCGTGAGTGATCTCTCTGTTCTCAAGCGAGCTGACTCGCCTGGAACCCTTGCTAGGGCTTCAGGGCTCTGGGAGTCACCTGCTCGTTGTCTTGGTGACCGGTCAGGAAAGTGTTCTTGAACTCCCAGCTAGTGAGAAGGGCGATGGAAGGGCAGAGAGATGAGGGGCTTGTCTCCGTCCGTGGATGAAGGATGTACATCCAGGCCCTGCCCGCTAGGGATAGGAGCTTACAGCGAGGCCATGGAAACCCTGGACCCCTAACCTGCAGCTTCCCCAAAGCCTGCTGTGGCCTTGTTCTCTTGTATTGCCTCTGGTTACCTGGGCAAAGGGCCTCAGTGGTTACTGGTAGTGCCAGCCGCCCCCCTCTCTAACGCCCAATGAAAGGTGACTGGGAGCTCTGCCTCCAACATCCAGGATGCCACAAGGGAGACGCAGGAGGAGGAAGGCTGCCAACCCAAGAAGGGGACCTTGGCATCGCCACATGTTGGTCTGGAGACTGTGTGGAGCATGAAGACTCCGACAACATACAGAGCGGTTCATCTGAGGACCCACGATGGAGAGATGGAGATTGGGGCTGGGAAAACATCTCATGGCCCTGGGGGTGGGGGATGTAAAGCCTGGGTTTGTATGTGATGAGTTTTCAACCTGTCTGCACAGGAGATGTACCTGGCAGCTTTAAAAATATACGTCTGAATTCCACCCCCCAGACCTCCTGAATCAGAATCCCTGGGGTTCATGCTCCCACCAAAGACATTCCTTCCTTTGTCCTTTTTCTTGTGGAAGGCTGGAGGGATTTGGAGTTGGGTTTTTTCTTTTCCTCCCAGGACAGGTAAGCTCTGATAAAACCCCAGCATGTTAGGCCCTAGTTAGATAGTTAACTCTTGAGAACAGACCTTGTTAAGAAGAACAGAATGCCCTGGCGTCTTTCTGGGGAAGCTTACCTCTCCTGTGAGGGGCTGTTCTACTGAAAAGTTCTCTCCTATGACATTAAATCCATGAAACTGGGTCTCCGTTATGCTGGCTAAGAAGTGCCCTTGCCTCCCTTTGGAAATATTCCCATGTACACTTAGGAACTATTTTCCCTTAAAAAGCACAAAGATTATGCTTACTTCAGCAATGCAAATATACTAAAATTGGAACAAGACAGGGAAGATTAGCATAGCCCCTGCTCAAGGATGACAGGCATATTGTGAAGCATTAGGTGTTTTTTAAGCTTCTTTTGTAACCCACTTTTCCTTCATGTTTTGCTTCAGAGAACCAAACCAAATAAAATATAATATCAAGGTCCTTTTTTGAAAAGGTTCAGAGATCTGTTGAGAGGAGGGTGTAGCAGGCTTGCAGGTTGATGATTCCTGTGTGGCGTTTTCCCCTGCCCCCCTCTCGGGAACAACGCTCAGGCTGTTCTGTTCTGAGTTCCCAGACCCCCTTGCCTCTCATGGAGAAGTGGCCAGTGTCCAACTGGTTTCTGTTTTAGAATGCAGACATTAGCTTTGAAATAGAAGGAGGCACTGGAGAGAGTGAAGGGCTGGGACTGGGCTTTGAGGGCAGGAAGTGGGTGTGGCCTGGCCCCCTGGCCGGGTGGGGTGGGGCCTCTCGCCATCAGCATCTCAAGCTGTGATACACCCAGGCTGAATCGGGTGAAGGGGGCTGTGGACACCTGGGGGTGAGGACCTGGGGGCCCGGCTCCTGGCTTTTAAACTTTTTCTTTTATATTGGGGTTTAGCCGATTAACAGTGCGGTGATCGCTTCAGGTGAAGAGCGAAGGAGAACTCAGCCTATCCATGTACATGTATCCATGGACTCTTGAGAGTCCCTTGGACTGCCAGGAGATCCAACTAGTCCATCCTAAAGGAAATCAGTCCTGAACATTCATTGGAAGGACTGATGTGGAAACTCCAACACTTTGGCCACCTGATGCAAAGAACTGACTCATTGGAAAAGACCCTGATGCTGGGAAAGATTGAGGGCAGGAGAAGGGGATGACACAGGATGAAATGGTTGGATGGCATCACCGACTCAATCAACATGAGTCTGAGTAAACTCTGGGAGTTGGTGATGAACCGGGAAACCTGGCGTGCTGCAGTCCGTGGGGTTGCAAAGAGTCGGACACGACTGAGCGACTGAACTGAACTGAACTGAATTCTCGCCCAGACTCCCCTCCCATCCAGGCTGCCATATAACATTGAGCAGAGTCCCCTGGGCTATACAGAAGGCCCTTGTTGGTTATCCAGTTTAGATATAGCAGTGTGCAGATTTGTGGGATCCTTGCGCTATAGGGTGATGGAGTGATTCCCACCACACACAGCTTTGTTGGTAGATCATTGAGGAAGGGCGTTTCCCCCAATGGCTTTAAAGGAGGGGGTAGGATTGACGTTTGGGGCACGGGTAAAGAAGAACGGTGCCTGAGCAGGTCCAGCAGAGCTGGAGGTGTGATGGGGAGGCCGACAGGGGAGCACCCGGCAGCGGGTTAAAGAGGGACGTGGGGACTGGAAACCTCTGCGGTTTGCTGTGGGGTGTGGATTTGGAGTCCGCCGCCGCCTCCTCCAGAACACCTTGAGTGAAGCCGCAAGCTGGTCCCTGATGCTTCTGGGAGGCTGCCTTCTCCTCCCCCTCCTTCCTCTTAGATATGTTATTTATTTCTTTTGGCCCTGCTGGGTTTTCATCACCGTGTGGGCTTGTTCTCTAGTTTCGCAAAGCGCGGCTGCTCTGTCGTTGCAGTGTGTGGGCTTGTCCTCCTGGTGGCTTCTCTTGCTGCAGCCGGCGGCCTGAGGTCTCTGGGCGTCAGTGGTGGTGGCTCCCGGCTCTCCAGAGCACAGGCTCAATAATTGTTGCTCATGCGCTTAGTTGCTCCGCAGCTTGTGGGATTCTTCCCTGACCAGGGATCGAACCCAGTCTCCTGTGTCGGCAGGCAGATCCTTGACCACTGAGCCACCAGGGAAGCCCTTAGAAATGTTTTAAAGTAACTCTGGGTCACTGTTCCCGAAGGTCTTACAAAGAGACACTTCCTCTTGTTCCTGGCCTCAAGTTCCTCTCTCTGAATGCAGCCACAGTTCCCCTGGTTCCCGGGTTCTAGTTGGTGGAGATGGTTGTATATGCATTTTCTCTGAAACAGTAGTGTATCTTCTCTGGAAGTTCTGCCCTTGTTGTGGTCATAGAACCATTTATCCAGAGTGGATGGCACTCCAAGGCATCTTTATAATGCTACTTTGTATTCCATTTTATGAGTGGACTGTGATACATTTAACCAGTTTCCTGCGTTTGGGGTTTGGGGTTGGTTCAGTCTAGCAGGACGGCTACAGTGATTCTCTTTGTCCCATGAGTGCATTCTTTCAGAGATCTCAGGGCACCCAGAGTGGTCCAGAGCCCACAGTGTTGCAGAAACAGCCACAGGGGACTCAGAGGAGAGACGTCAGAGGACCAAGAGAGATTAAGTGCCAGGGAATGTTAATATTGGAGAACCTTGGGGCTTCTCCCTGCTGGGAATTGGAGATTCAAGGGATCCTGAAGAGATCTCCGGGAATTCCCTGGTGACGCTAGTGGTAAAGAACACACCCGCCAGTGCAGAAGACATCAGAGATGTGGGTTCGATCCCTGGGTCAGGAAGATTCCCTGGAGGAGGGCACAGCAACCCACTCCAGTATTCTTGTCTGGAGAATCTCATGGACAGAGGAACTTGGTGGGCTACAGTCCCTAGGGTCACAAAGAGTCACATGACTGAGCAACTTAGCACACACGCCTACAAAGATCTGAGGGCTGATCATCCAGTTTCTCTCTTCTCTGAATCCCAGGGATCCCTTGACTGCCCTGCTCTATAATGTGCCTGCAGTGGGGTCTTGAAAAGGAAAGCTCACATTTACAGTCCCCCTACCACTTATTCATAGGCCCTCCAGAAGTCTGATTTCACTGAATTGCTTATTATTGGGGAACAAAAGTATAGCATCTCCTTCACTGTTGCTGTTTGTCTTCCCCTGAATCTTCCAGTGGAGAGCTGCAGTCCTGGCAGACACCTTCCATTTATTTCTGGGCATCAACAGAGGGTGTTTCACGTGCACTTAGTAATAAGCCCTTTCAGCAGCTGCCTGATGTCCCTGGTACTGTTCACCTTCCTCCTGATGCTGGCTCCATCTGCTGCTTTGCTGGGCTGAGCAGGGTTCCATACTCTGGACATCACTTCTGACATTACTTCTGCCGACTCTGTGCTGTGAGCCTTGCTCATGTGCTGTAAGCCCCTGCCATGTCACCATGCTCCTACACAGGCAGGTGCAGGAGTTGTTCACCTTTGGGTGTGGCCTCATCTTCCACAACTGGCTCCGTGTTCAAGGATTATGAAACCCGGTAGGTACCTCCCCCCTTCATGACCTGAAAAAGCAAATGGAAATTCCCCTGGGAGGAAGAAGTAGGGGTGGCTGTTGTGTAGACACCTGCCAAGTCTCTTAACAGCTGAACACTGTTCAACTGAGCAGTTGAAGGGGAGCAGTCAGCTGACGCCACCTTAATGGACTTAGTGGATGATGCAACTCAATGGACTGGAAGGGCCTCAATCTGACACAGTAATGCACCTAGCTATTGTTACTCATCCTTGATAATTCCATCCATTGTGCCGGGAAAAAAATTAGTTAGGAAGAAACGTTTACCTCAAAGAAAGGAGAAAGAGAATTATGCAATCTTCCCTTCTCACCCAGTGGAGTTCTGTGGGAAACCAGCAGAAACACCAGGACCTGGTTCGGTTATGTCCTCCTGGAATTTTCCAGCGTGCCATAAGGACCAGAAGTCACT